TTGGCGGTGGTTTGGAAAGGCGTCCTATATTTGTACGAAAGGTACTAAATGGTACTAAATTTAGTATTGGGTAAAGGAATATAGCTGAAATCTTCAAATTTGATAATGAAGTCTCTAGGGATTTCTGGAATTGCGAAATGGAGCTGTGTTTTGCAAATATGTACTATAATTGTACGAAAAATACGAAATTGTACTAAAGTTGGTATTAAGTCATGGGATAGAGCCGAAATCACGAAATTTTATATACATGTTGGTGTCTGGGTTTAAGAGATAAAGATGGTTTTGGAAATGTGTCCTATAATTGTACGAAAAGTACTAAATAGTACTAAATTTGGTATCGAATGAAGGAACAGAGCTGAAAACCTGAAATTTGCTATTGAGGTCCTTATTCGTATTTGAAACTCGGATGTGGAGTTCATTTAGGAAATGGGTACTATAATTGTACGAAAAGAAAGTACTAAATTTGGTATTGTATGAAGGAATAGAGGTGGAATCCTGAAATTCGATATTGAGGTCTCTGTGGTACCTGGAATTGAGGTATGTAGATAGCTCTGACAAGATTTACTATATCCGTACGAAAAGTACCAAATTTTCTATTGAATAAAGGAACAGAGCTAGAATCCTGAAATTTACTATGGATTTCACTGTAGGTGTTTGTGATTGAGAGAAGGAGCTGCTTGGATGAAGGGATAAAGCTATAAACGTTAAATTTTTTTATTGCCTTAATAGATTCTGCCTAGATTTGAGATATGGAACGGTTTGAAAAATGAGTACTAAAATTATACGAAAAGTACTAAATGTTACTTAATTTGGTATTGAATGGAGCTGGAATACCGAAATTTGTATGGTCTATGGTCTACCGAAATTTTATGGTCACTCTTAGTATATGGAATCGAGATCTGTAGATTGGATATGCGTACTAAATGTCACTTTTTGGTATTAAATGTAATTCCGACAAAACAAAAAAACTTGAATAATATATAAAACCTTAAAATTTGAAAATTTGGTTCGACGTTTAAAAAAAAATTAAAATTTGTCTGTGGGCTTTTCCCCGACGAAGTAGCTGGCACATGCTACCATAAAAGATTAGAATGTTTTCTGAGAAATATTCAAAAACTATTAATGTTTTCTTCTCGATTTTAGCCATCATCGAACAAGGCGTCAGAGTTCACCAGGAAATTGGTCTTAATGCTTTGGTCTATATGGGACCGTACCCGTCGTTAGTAACCGCAGATCCGGTCATTATCAAGGATGTACTTAACTCGAAATTGTGCATCAATAAAAGTGAATTGACATACCAGGGTGTGAACAATGCCTGTGGCAGAGGTCTGATAAACCTGGAGGGTGAGCAACGATCAATGGCTAATATCTATATAAACTCTGTGATAAATCTCATCATTCTAGGAAATGAATGGATACAACACCGAAAGCTATTGAATGAACCCTTCAAATTATCCAATCAACTCACGTTTCTGCCAATTTTCAACAAGCAAGTGAATACCATATTTGTGGATATGGACAAATTGCATCATATGGAAAATGCCTACTATATTCTGGGATTATGTCGGGAATTTACGGTGAAAATTGCAAGTGGTAGGATTTGAAATGTGATTATTTGTTTGTAATATTTTAGGGTTTTATTTTATTGCAGAAACCATGTTGAGTCATGACATAACTTTAACCGACATCGATGTGAGACATTATGCCCAACTGTTTACAAGGTAAGGAGATACATATGTATTTTGAAGAGGTTATAGAAGACATCCACGTTTATTGGCCTGTAGGTCTTCGGGAAAATATTCTTTAAAAAAAATCAGGATAAATGGTCTGGAGGTAGTGAAAAAATATCCTATAAAAAATCCAAGATTATTTGTCAATTGGTCCTTGAAAAATATCCTTAAAAAATCCAAATTTATTAGCCTCAAGTTTCTTGAAAAATATTTTTTTAAAAATTCACGATAATTGGTCTGGAGGTAGTGAAAAAATATTCTATAAAAAATCCAAGATTATTTATCAATTGGTCCTTGAAAAAATATTCTTAAAAAAAAATCCAAATTTATTAGCCTCAAGGTTCTTGATATATTTTTTTTTAAATCCAAATTTATTAGCCTCAAGTTCCTTGATTTTTTTTTAAATCCAATTTTATTGGTCTGTAAGTCCTTGAAAAAAAAATTCTTTAAAAAATCCACGTTTATTGGTCTGTAAGTCCTTGAAAAAAATATTCTTTAAAAAATCCACGTTTATTAGTCTGCAGGTCCTTGAAAAAATATTCTTTAGAAAATCCACGTTTATTGGTCTCCAGGTCCTTGAAAAAATTTTCTTTAAGAAATCCACGATTATTGGTCTGCAGGTCCTTGAAAAAATATCATTAAAAAATCCACGTTTATTTGTCTGCAGGTCCTTGAAAAAATATTCTTTAAAAAATCCACGTTTATTAGTCTGCAGGTCCTTGAAAAAATATTCTTTAGAAAATCCACGTTTATTGGTCTCCAGGTCCTTGAAAAAATTTTCTTTAAGAAATCCACGTTTATTAGTCTGCAGGTCCTTGAAAAAATGTCACTAAAAAAATCCACGTTTATTTGTCTGCAGGTCCTTGAAAAAATATCATTAAAAAATCCACGTTTATTTGTCTGCAGGTCCTTGAAAAAATATTCTTTAGAAAATCCACGTTTATTGGTCTCCAGGTCCTTGAAAAAATTTTCTTTAAGAAATCCACGATTATTGGTCTGCAGGTCCTTGAAAAAATATTCTTTATAAAATCGGCGATTATTGGTCTATATGTCCTTGAAAAATATTTTTCAAAAAATTGCCGATTATTGGCCTGTATTCTTTAAATATTCTTTAAAAAGTTCACGTTTCTTGGCATACACGTCCTTGAAAAAATATTCTTTAAAAAGTTCACGTTTCTTGGCATACACGTCCTTGAAAAAATATTCTTTAAAAAATCCACGTTCCTTGAAAATATATTTTTTAACAAATCCACGTTTATTGGTCTGCAGGTCCTTGAAAAAATATTTTTTAAAAAATCGGCGATTATGTAGGTCCTTTAAAAAATATTCTTTAAAAATCCACGTTTATTGGTCCGTAGGTCCTTGAAAAAAATTTTCTTTAAAAATCCACGTTTATTGGTCCGTAGGTCCTTGAAAAAAATATTCTTTGAAAATCCACTTTTATTGGTCTGTAGGTCCTTGAAAAAATATTCTTTAAAAACCCACGTTTATTGGTCTGTAGGTCCTTGAAAAAATATTCTTTAAAAATCCACGTTTATTGGTCCGTATTTCCTTGAAAAAAATATTCTTTGAAAATCCAAGTTTAGTGGTCCGTAGGTCCTTCACAAAAAAAAATATTCTTTAGAAAATCCACGTTTATTGGTCCGTAGGTCCTTGAAAAATTTTTCTTTAAGAAATCCACGTTTATTAGTCTGCAGGTCCTTGAAAAAATATTCTTTATAAAATCGGCGATTATTGGTCTATATGTCCTTGAAAAATATTTTTCAAAAAATTGCCGATTATTGGCCTGTATTCTTTAAATATTCTTTAAAAAATTCACGTTTCTTGGCATACACGTCCTTGAAAAAATATTCTTTAAAAAAATCCACGTTCCTTGAAAAAATATTTTTTAACAAATTTACGTTTATTGGTCTGCAGGTCCTTGAAAAAATATTTTTTAAAAAATCGGCGATTATTGGTCTGTAGGTCCTTTAAAAAATATTTTTTAACAAATCCACGTTTATTGGTCTGCAGGTCCTTGAAAAAATATTTTTTAAAAAATCGGCGATTATTGGTCTGTAGGTCCTTTAAAAAATATTTTTTAAAAAATCCACGTTTATTGGTCTGCAGGTCCTTGAAAAAATATTTTTTAAAATATCGGCGATTATTGTTCTGTAGGTCATTTAAAAAATATTTTTTAAAAATCCACGTTTATTGGTCTGCAGGCCCTTGAAAAAATATTCTTTGAAAAATCCAGGTTTATTGGTCTGTAGGTCCTTGAAAAAATATTCTTTAAAAAGTCCACGTTTATTGGTCTGCAGGTCCTTGAAAAAAATATTCATTGAAAAATCCACGTTTATTGGACTGCAGGTCCTAGAAAAAATATTCCTTGAAAATAAATTTTCTTTAAAAAGACCACATTGAATGGTCTGCAGGTCTTTGAAAAAATTTTCTTTAAGAAATCCACGATTATTGGTCTGCAGGTCCTTGAAAAAATATTCTTTATAAAATCGGCGATTATTGGTCTATATGTCCTTGAAAAATATTTTTCAAAAAATTGCCGATTATTGGCCTGTATTCTTTAAATATTCTTTAAAAAATTCACGTTTCTTGGCATACACGTCCTTGAAAAAATATTCTTTAAAAAAATCCACGTTCCTTGAAAAAATATTTTTTAACAAATCCACGTTTATTATTCTGCAGGTCCTTGAAAAAATATTTTTTAAAAAATCGGCGATTATTGTTCTGTAGGTCCTTTAAAAAATATTTTTTAAAAATCCACGTTTATTGGTCTGCAGGCCCTTGGAAAAATATTCTTTGAAAAATCCAGGTTTATTGGTCTGCAGGCCCTTGAAAAAATATTCTTTGAAAAATCCAGGTTTATTGGTTTGTAGGTCCTTGAAAAAATATTCTTTAAAAAATCCACGTCCTTGAAAAAATATTCTTTCAAAAATACAGGTTTATTGGTTTGTAGGTCCTTGAAAAAATATTCTTTAAAAAATCCACGTTTATTGGTCTGCAGGTCCTTGAAAATAAATTTTCTTTAAAAAATCCACGTTTATTGGACTGCAGGTCCTAGAAAAAATATTCTTTACGTTTATTGGTCAGTAGGCCCTAGAAAAATATTCTTTAAAAAATCCAGGATTATTGATAGTCCTTGAAAAATATTCCTTAAAAATCCACGTTTCTTGGTCTGCATGTCTTTGATTGTAAAATATTGTATAAAAATCGCCTTCTTTTATATATTTCAAAATTATATATTTCAACCCACTTATTCTGAAGATTGCCCATATGACGAAATTTAAGGAGTGCCGTAAGGATCTTGCATTCTTGACGTCCCAATTTAATGAGGTAAGTAGAATGTCGTACATTTTTTATATAACTTTAAAATATTTTTCTACTGAATTTAAACCAAGCATGAAGTTATTGGTTCCGGAAAAATACATAAACGGGTCCAATATTAATTTTCGCCATTTTTCTACATTTTCCTTTTCAGATATTGGACAACTTTTCCACGGGGAAATATGATCCAAGCTATGTCCCTAACTTATTCACTGCCATCCACTGTCTAAATGACGAGCTGAAGAACAAGAGAATTACACATGAACGCCTAATCTCGAGCATGGTACAACTATATTGTGCAGTAAGATTTTAAACAAATTAAATTAAAAAAAATTAATTAACAAAAAAATATAACGCAGGCCTTTGAGACAACTTCATCGACCATCTACTTCTGCATACTCATGTTGGCCATGTATCCGGAATTCCAGGCAAAAGCCTATGCCGAAGTATGTGAATTATTTCCCGAGGACGACGAGGGTGAATTTGAGGTCACCTATGAAGATCTTTCAAAATTGACCTATGTGGATATGTTCGTGAAGGAGACAATGCGTTTGCTGCCCACAATTCCCCAAACGGGCAGGACAATTCGTGGTGGAGATCTAAAGTTGAGCAATGGTGTTGTTTTGCCCGAGGGTCTCGATATTGGAATAAATATATATTATTTACATCGCAACAAGGAGATATGGGGACCAAATGCGAATGCATTTAATCCGGATAATTTTCTACCCTGCAACGTTGAGAAACGTCATTCATATGCCTTTATACCATTTATGAAGGGAAGCCGGTTTTGTATAGGTAAGAGAGAGGGAGAGAGAGAGGATATTTCAAGGCATCATAGAACAGAAAAATAATTATCTAAAGATACGGCAATTTCACAAGTTTGTCATTCCGTTTTGACCACCTCGAAAAAAAAAACGAAGTATGTCCGTCTGTCCGTCTGTGGAAATCAATCTAGTTTCCGAAGGAAATGAAGTAGATTAATAAAATTTTACTCAAATATATATTATGTCCGTAGGACTCTTGGTATTGAAAATGGACCACGTAGGTCCACGTTTTGGTATAGCCCCCATATAATGGTATCTCCCTATTTTCGGTATTTTGATTATTCAAGGGAAATTATTCACCGGAATTCTTACAAATTTGATATTTAAAGTTCGTAATGAAAACTACAGCCTATGACAAAAAATTGTCTGTGCAGCTCCACGCCTTCGTATAACCCCAATATAACGGTACCTCCCGATATTCGGTATTTTGATGATTTTAGCGACATTATTAGCCGGAATTGTTACAAATTTGGTATTTGAAGTTCGTAATGGATACTACATCTTGTGACAGATAATTGTCTTTGGAGGTCCATGTTTTGGTGTTGACCCCCCCCCCCCCCCCCTCTATAATGGCACCTCCGTATATTCGGTATTTTGATGATTTTAGCTACTTCTTATTTTACTTTATTTATTTATTTATTTTTTTTTTTTGAAAATTTCCAAATTCCTTCCAAATGCAGGGAGGACATTCAAAGTTCTGCCCGGTTAAACTTACAGCTCTTTAACTTGTTTTCTCTCCTTCCTTTCTAGGAATGCGTTACGCTGAAATGAGTCTCAAAGTGGCAATGTCTAAACTCATCAAGAGGTACAAATTTACATCAGCAGCCAAGTTGGACGATTTCCAGTTGGAAAATCACATATCCTTGTATCTGGTTAATACTCCTTCGTTTACAATCGAGAGGAGAGTATTGAATAAAATCTGAATAGATTTTGAACAACAAACAGCTGTATAACCCTACGACAGCCACTATTGATATCTGAAAAAAATCAACTAAATATGCAATGATTAAATTAACTAAAATTTAACGGTAACCTCTGAGAGAAGGTCCTTCTAGGACCTTCGAAATTTTTTAAAGTTATGGCGTGATGAATTTGATGGTAAGTAGATTGCAGAAAATTCCCTATCATCGATTTTCAAGTTTTTATGCTCTCAGTCATATGACCGCAGAGGGTATATATCATCTAAGAGGGCCAAAAGTACCTCATTGTAATAATGGTTTTAGAACCCAGATTTGTGAAGCCAGATTTCATTCTAAGTCGTCCGTACCTCTGCCTGTCTGTCTGTCTGTCTCGCTGGTTATTGCTCACGATAACTCTCGAAGGCATTATTTGGCCCGAATTATGGCCTTTAAACGGCCAATGAATCCGTCACACGCTGCCTACCTACCTACTTATTCTAATACAAATTATGTTTTTTCCAAAAAATACTATTCTAATTACCAAGTAATTTCAACACCACACCTTAATGGAAACGTATTTTATTTTAATCCCATCTTCTCAGACAATTGTTTATTCTTGAATTTTGCAAGGGATTTGGTCAATATATCTGCAGGATTCTCATTTGACGGCACATACTTCAAATCAAGCTTTCCTTCCTTGAAGACATTCCTAGCATGATGCACTCTGATGTCAATGTGCTCGCTTCTAGAATGGTAAACGGGGTTTTTAACAAGCTGTTGAGATCCAATGTTGTCTCCATACAATGTAGTAGCATTTTTCACAAGTCTTCCGAAACCGATTTCAGTCAGCAAATTTCGAATACAAATGATTTCCTTTGTTGCTGATGATAACGCCATATATTCGGCTTCGGTGCTACTTAATGCAACTGTAGGTTGTTTTTTAGACTCGAACATTACTGCAGCTCCAGCCAAAATAAACACGAAACCTGTGAACGATCTCCTATCATCTGAGCCACCTGCCCAGTCGGCATCTGCGAATCCATATAATGGTTTCCCAGTATATTTATACTCCAAAAATTGGTTTATGGTAGAATTTAGATAACGAAGGATATGATGACCTCCATTCATATGTTCAATGTGCGGGTCGCTGTTAAATTGAGATAATTTTGTGACGGCATGTAGGATATCTGGTCTTGTACATAATCCAATGTACATTAATGAACCAATTAGAGACTGATACCTTTTTATATCCGCTTTCTTGCAATTTATACAACCATCCGTACATTTCTTGAATTTTTAACCAGGATCTAATGGAGTTGAAACTTTTCTTGTATTTTCCATTCCATTTCCTTTTAATAATTCCATAATCATATTCTTCTGTGAGAGTTTGATTGGTCCCGTTGGCGTATTTCTCTCAATCTCCATCCCCAGAAAGTAGCCCACGGGTCCTTTATCGTGAATTTCTAAGTACGTTCCATGGTGCTCATGGTGTACACGCATGGATCGATTACACACTGCTTAAATCCAATCTTCTTTAGGATTTCATCCAGTTTCTCATTCCATTTTCTTCCAGACAGTTTGAGACCATAAAGAGCTTTTTGCAGCTTACGTACTTTATCAGGTGATTCGGTATCCTCAAACATCTGTGGTTGAGCCATATAAATGTCTGCATCGATCTCCCCATTTAGATACGCCGTTGTAACATCTATTTGATGCACATATAATTTTAATTCTGCTGCCAACGCTAATATCGTGCGTACAGTAGAATATCGGGTCACTGGCGAAAATGTTTCGGTGTAGTTCACCCCGAACTTCTGGCTACAGCCTTTTGCCACTAGTCTTGATTTGTAGCGCTCCACGTTGCCATCCTTATCTCGCTTTCTTGTGAACACCCACTTACACTTTATAATGGGAACTCCATCTGGCTTATCAACCAGTATCCACGTCCCTTTATCAACTAAGGATTGATATTCGGTTTTCATCGATTGGACCCACATATCCCGATCATTTCTTGATAAAGCCTCTTCCACAGTTTCTGGATCTTCTCTGTTATCGTTTATAATGAAATTGTTCATAATTCGCCTTCCAGATCGCAATACCTTGTAATTCAGATCATCATTTTGAGGCGATTCCTCGATTACAATTTCTTCAACTATTGTCCTTGGTTCCCTTATATGGTCATCCAATATCCGAAGAAACATTCCTTGTAATATCCATAAGTATGGTTGCATCAAATTTGTCAATATTGTGAACTTCTTTTTTGTCGTTTTGCTCGCCAAATATTTCATATTTACTGGTGCGGCTATTCGATGATGTTTCTATGAACTTAACATCTCGGCTTTTGTATAAAATTCTCCTTTTCGTGTCATATAATCGATAAGCCTTCGATTCGCTGCAATAACCAGTTAGGACACACTCTACTCCCCGAGCCTGGAACTTTGACTTACCAGGTCGTTTGTCCAATTTTATTGCTTTGCATCCAAACGTCTTCAAGTGAGCAACAGTCGGTTTTCTGCCACTCCAACGTTCTATCGGTGTAACACCTTCTACTGCAGTGGTTGCACAATGATTTTTCAGGTAAACTGCAGTACCTATGGCTTCACCCCATAATGACTCGTGCAAACCAGATCCGATTAACATGCTACGTGCCATTTCGACGACCCCAGCTCGTCTATAGAGACCAGCTTGCCACCCCAGCTCGTCTATAGAGACCAGCTTGCCACCCCAGCTCGTCTATAGAGACCAGCTTGCCACCCCAGCTCGTCTATAGAGACCAGTTGACCAACCCAGCTCGTCTATAGAGGCCAGCTGGCCGCTCAGCTCGTCTATAGTGACCAGCTGGCCGCTCAGCTCGTCTATAGTGACCAGCTGGCCGCTCAGCTCGTCTATAGTGACCAGCTGGCCGCTCAGCTCGTCTATAGAGACCAGCTGGCCATCCAGCTCGTCTATAGAAACCACCTGGCCATCCAGCTCGTCTATAGAGACCAGCTGGCCATCCAGCTCGTCTATAGAAACCACCTGGCCACCAGAGACCAGCTCGTGTATAAAAACCACCTGGCCACCAGATACCAGCTCGTCTATAGAAACCATCTGGCCAGCCAGAGCGGTTATAGAGACCAGCTGGCCAGCCAGCTCGGCTATAGAGACCAGCTGGCCAGCCAGTTCGCCTATAGAGACCAGCTGGCCGCCCAGCTCGCCTATAGAGACCAGCTGGCCGCCCAGCTCGCCTATAGAGACCACCTGACCGCCCAGCTCGCCTATAGAGACGACCTGGCCACCCAGCTTCTCTATAGCTGGCCGCTCAGCTTCTCTATAGAGACCAGCTCGTCTATAGAGACCAGCTTGCCACCCAGCTCGTCTATAGAGACCAGTTGACCAACCCAGCTCGTCTATAGTGACCAGCTGGCCGCTCAGCTCGTCTATAGTGACCAGCTGGCCGCTCAGCTCGTCTATAGTGACCAGCTGGCCGCTCAGCTCGTCTATAGAGACCAGCTGGCCATCCAGCTCGTCTATAGAGACCAGCTGGCCATCCAGCTCGTCTATAGAAACCACCTGGCCACCAGAGACCAGCTCGTCTATAAAAACCAGCTGGCCACCAGATGCCAGCTCGTCTATAGAAACCATCTGGCCAGCCAGAGCGGTTATAGAGATCAGCTGGCCGCCCAGCTCGCCTATAGAGACCACCTGACCGCCCAGCTCGCCTATAGAGACCACCTGGCCACCCAGCTCGCCTATAGAGACCACCTGGCCACCCAGCTCGCCTATAGAGACGACCTGGCCACCCAGCTCGCCTATAGAGACGACCTGGCCACCCAGCTCGCCTATAGAGACGACCTGGCCACCCAGCTTCTCTATAGAGACCAGTTGGCCGCTCAGCTCGTCTATAGAGACCAGCTGGCTATCCAGCTCGTCTATAGAGACCAGCTGGCCATCCAGCTCGTCTATAGAGACCAGCTGGCCATCCAGCTCGTCTATAGAGACCACCTGGCCACAAGAGACCAGCTCGTCTATAAAAACCACCTGGCCAGCCAGCTCGTCTATAAAAACCACCTGGCCAGCCAGCTCGGCTATAGAGACCAGCTGGCCAGCCAGTTCGCCTATAGAGACCAGCTGGCCGCTCAGCTCATCTATAGAGACCAGCTGGCCACCCAGCTCGTCTATAGAACCCGGCTGGCCACCCAGCCTGTGTAAAGGGTCCAGCTGGTGGCCGGTTCGTCTATAGGGTCAAGTTGGTGGCCAATTGGTCTATAGAGTTCTGAGTAGCTGGCACTCTTATTGGTCACCAGGTCGTCTTTGAGCCAAGTTGATGGCCAATTGGTCTATAGAAATTAACTCGTCTATAGTGACATGCAGGCCTCCATCCAGCCAGTATCCATGCCCTCATAACGGCATACCCCAGTCATCCATATTTTCCAAATTAATTCCTATGATATGTCCTGATTCCTTGATATGTCCAGATGTATTTTCCATACCATAAAAAAGTGCAAATGACTAACCATTCCATTAGGAATTTAACAAAATCGCAGTAGCATTGTCAAGATCCTGAAACATAAATTATACCCTTCTGGTTAGATGCCAAAAATTCTCTTTTTTTCGTCATTCTACACAAATAGAAATAAAAAAAATGAAAAACTCAAAACATTTTACCAGATTTAATAAACGTTATCTCAGGAATGCAAAACGAACTTCAATTGAAGCCATTATGGTTTATTATGTTTTAGGATCATGGCCCGGCCGGCCAACTTCTTCCTCTAACCCCCAATCACCAGAAATTTTATTATCTCTGTGTCGCCAGACTGCAAACTTTCTGTTTTTTTCTTCAACCCCGCTACCCCAACCAATACTGACCGGGCCTATCATATTATGGTATTATTGTTGTTGTTGATATTGTAATTTACCTAGTTGTAAATTTTATCATAGCTGGCAAATGACATTAGATTGCTGCTGCTGTTGTTGCTGTCCAGCTGGGTGGTCGGTGTATCTTTTGGATTTTTATGACTAACCCACAACAACAGCGACATTTT